GGCTATCAAAAGATATAGCGTCTGGGGTCTTAAAAGCTTGAAGGAAAACAAGCGGCCATCTAGCTCAGAAGCAACAAAGCCCACATGGAACAACAACATATCACCTTTACTTTTTAATGGCAAAGAAAGGCTTGAGAAATAAGTGTTAATATGGAAATTGAATCTGATATTATTGGATAGGATACCTTTTTAAAAGTTACTTCAAACTATTTTCAGAGCTTCCTGCAAATTACTTGTCTTAGGAAAGTTAGTTGGTCTCATTGAGCTGCCTTATTTGCATAATTATGTGCCTGTTACAATATTGTAATAACATAAGTTATAATGATTCCTCCACCTCTGTCTTGAATAAGGGTCTGGGAGGGAGGAGCGAACTTGGAGAATATAACTTAATTGATCACTTTTAATCCAAAGTATGCTCTGTTAAAATCATATTTATTTTTATGTTTGTTTGTTTTTTTAACTCCAGGGATTATACTATCTTCACAGTAGAGGAAAAATGCACAGAGATATAAAGGTATGCATCTGGTTTTAACCTAGTGGTCACTTCCAAGTATTCTGATCAAGCTATTGAGCAGAATCGTTTTGACTGTTCTACATGTTGAAATTGTTGACTGACATATGTATGACTGTAATAATACTGATACTTCCAAGGCTGGATGAAAAGCGGTAACAACTTTGCGATACCACTCACATACCATTAAAATAACCCTCTGTAGAAAGCACAGGTATATGTCGCTAATGTCCACTATAAGATTGGTGAAAAGGCACAACACACAATTTGGATTTGCAAACATATTGTATACAAACAGTTTCCAGTTAATCCATAGCAAAAGTCTTTTAATATCGATTACATTAAAACGTTACGGCAGCCCACTGGACAAAGCCCAAGAGCTGTATCCATTGCACATAGGAGGCTGGCCTTGCTGGAAGGGCGGTTGGGCTGGGCACAGAAGGGGGATGGCGGTGGGGAGTCATGCAGAGAGGGGGCCATGAGCACCCGGGGTGGCATGTGCTGCCCAGCGCCAGGAGCGCCAGACGGGGTGGCTGGGGTTGTGCGTGGCAGAGTGAAGTACGTAGAAGGTACAGGAGGAAGGAGAGCTGTTTTCCCTTTTTTTAAAAAAAATAAGCCCCGCATCCACAGGTGGCTTCATTTTTAATAACTCATTTTACCTGGTAGTTATTTATTTGTGAAATGCAGATTAGGCCCATGGCGTCTATCAAGTGTACAGCATTTTAGAAGTTTAATGCTTTAAATAGTACAGCAAGGAACTCCCATTACTAATGCGATGCGCCCTGTCATTCTCTGGCGTCTTTCGTTAACTGGTGTAAGAGCAGGTGCACTACGTGTGCTGGGGAGCTTAGTGGCCAACCCGGAGCTGCGGGGCGACTCCAGAGGTTACAGCTAAAGAAACTGCCATCCCCTCAGCTTACATATTTGCCCTTTTCACCGAATTTCCTTTTCTGCCAATCTCCCTTCTTTGTCTTTCCTCCTCTCCTCCTTTGTTCTATGACATCTTCTGAGTGTAAAGGTTTTTAAACATCCCGCCACCTTTTAAAAATAAGAGTACTGTTCTTTGAGTCGCTGATGAAAGCCCTGGACTCTCATCAGAAAAAAAAAATGCTCTTCTGCACAGGCCCTCAAGTTGTGCATAAAACTTTCAGGGATAATCTGCTGCAATCCCATTCGTTAGGCATTTCCCCCAAGCCACGTCAAAGACATTAGCAAAGAGCTTCAGCAGTCAGCAATAGAAGAGATCATAAGAAAATGAAATCATGAAAGGTTTTGTAGCTTGGAACGCTTAGGTAATCTGGAAGGACATGGATGGGTGTGTGGGAAATGGAGGATGGAGCGCTTCCTGTCCGAGGAAACCAGGCGAGCAAAGATCTCTGGGTCACAAGGCATGATGTCTTTTTAGCACGAATAAAGCCTGGACCCTATTGCTGAAGTGAAGCGGATGTCTGAGAAGAATAGGAGATAGAGTTGGCCAGTTGGTTTGGTGCTCTGTCATGCAAGGACTTGGGTACCGTACTTCAGAGTGTGGGCCTAATTGGGTAGATGTTCACCATTGCCTCGATGTCTGCCTTGTCTGAGTCACCATTATTATCTTAACTTCTGCCCTCGTCTTCTCACTGATCTCCCTGCTTCTGTTCTTGTGGTTCTCCAGTCAGCGATCCACCTGCCGTCAAAGGGATCTTTTCAATTAGAGCATGCCACTCCTGCCTGTCAACCACGGTTGGTTCCCATCAAACTCAGCACCCAATCCAAACTGTTTGATCAAGGCCCTGTGCTCCCTGACCCCCCTCTCTTCATTTTACTCAGACGGTTCCAGCCACGGTCAACTCGCTCTTCTTGAACTATGCCAAGCGTCTCCTGGCCAAGGACTCGGTACTTGATTCTTTTGCTCGGAACGTTCTTCCAGAATTGGTGGGGCTGCTGACCGTCTGCACTGCATCTAGAGCTCTGCTCAAACACGCTGCCTTTAAGAGGCCTTCTTTATCCTACTCGGTCTCCAGAATACGTTTCTCCATCTTGACTTTGAATCATTGGTTACTTTATGCATTCCTGAACGTATTCGTTTTTAGAAAATATTTTCTCTGAATGTAAAACTATGATAGCTGGAACTTACTTTCTATTTAGTAGCCTTAGGAAAAGGAGCCCAGGTGGCATAATGGGTTACGAGTTGGGCTCCTGACCTTGGTTCGAAACCATCAGCCGCTTCTCACAACGAGTTCCAGTCTCAGAAAGGCAACCCACAGGGGTTGGCCTGTCTGTAGGGTTGCCATCAGTCGGAGCAGACTCAGTGGCAGAAAGTTTGGTTTGGGTTTGAGCCTTTCAGGGATGAATGAATGAATGAATGAATGAGTAGGTGGGTAAATGGATGGATGGATGGATAGGCAGACTGGCAGGTGGATAGATGGATGGATGGATGGATACATCAAAAGCCATACTGTGCAGATGATGTGATACAAATTGCCATTTAAGAAAATAAATCTAGAATTGAGTAGAGACCACATTCAAACTCTACCAACAGTTTGGGCAGCTGGGGTCTAGATCAAATAAAAACTTTCCTCTGTTCTCATCTCTCTGCCCTCTCACTTCATCAAGTCACCGTGACACCTGTGAGCGCAATTCACCTTGTTAGTGACGGTTGGAATCTAGGAACCTTCTTTTCCTTGTTTTTTTCCCTCCAATTCTTCAGATGCTTCGCTTTGAGGCTGGGGTGTTTCCCAACATTCACCCCGAGGCAGACACTTACGTGCCTGATGGCAGCTTGGACTGAAGTGTCCGCTTACTTTTACTTTTTCTTTTTAAAGGTCACAGAAAGCTCAACCTCCCTGAAAAAAGCAAAAACAAATTCTTTTGAAGTGCCATGAGGAAACAATACATCAATATTTCTACCTCTTTCCAAAGCGTTGAGCTTATTAAAAGAGGAAGTAATCATTATTATCATCTCTGGATTTAGATCAAGAAGCTTAAAGTAGCTAAAAATGTCAAGGTCAGGTTGACAAGTGTCATTTTTATTCTCTTGACGGATAGCCGGTTTTCTGTATGCTGTGTGGCCCTAACGAGGCATGTTCTCGTAGATACCCTAATGTAACGAACACGAAGGTCCAGTGTCAGACACCAGCCTTGGCCCCGCTGATGATCACTTCCTGGAAAGAGGGGACCCTGCCCCCCCACCCAACAGTAAAGAGCCGTCAAATCGTCAAAGTACATTTCACACAGCAAAAGATTAAAGTGTAATGAAACCCATAGAAAATCCCATTATTGGGTAAAATACTAGTGACAGTGCTATCAACCAAAAAAGTAACATCTAGATAAAAACTAATCTACCACTTTCATGTTAACATTCATCTTAAATAGCAATTTTTGCATTATTGAAAAGGCAGAACCATTTTATAAGGATTGTCAAAAACATACAAAAGAGAATGGTAAATTTTCCTATGAACATAATGATTTAATATTAGGCATACTTTAAATGTTAAGTACTTGTAGGATTAAGGCTGCCCCAGGCATTATTTTAAACATGTATATTTAATCTATATCTATACTGATGAAATGTCTCTTTCCTACTTTAACTAAAATGTTCTCACTTTGAAGGGTGCTAACATTCTACTAACGGATAATGGTCATGTGAAATTAGGTAAGTAACTTTGAATTTGTCGTTTGCATACATGTATTCTAAATAATAAGTTTATATCTTTCTCTGTATACCAGGTGCCTTGTCCTTGGAATAGCTGCTGTGCCCGTTTAGTGCAGGTCTAATTAGGAAACACATCTCACTTTGGTTTCCTCGTCCCCCAACGAGGGCAGAGTCAGCCCTCCGTATGTGATAGATACGGCCAGTTGTCATCATTTGCGGTAGCTGTGATAGATGAACATTACCCTGACCATGAATTAGTGAGCACTGAACCATTGTTCTTAGTATAAAAAGAGAGGTAGGCTCCCTAGCCTCTGATGGAGTCACAGCATTGTGCCACCCAGTCAGTGCACTCCACCCGGGATCTCAAGTCCAAGTCCTGGTGGCTCCGGGTGTGCGAGAGTAGAGCTGCACCCCATAGGGTTTCCCCGGTCCTTTGTCAGAAGTAGATCGCCAAGTGAAGGTCCTTGGGTGAACTCCACCTTCTAGCCTTCCTGTTAGCAACCAGATGTTCTAGCCATTTGTGCCGCCCAGGCACTTCAATCAGTACAGAACCTTGTTCTGTGTGTGTTTCTGTGTAGAGGCATCTTGTTTAAGCTATTGATTCATTAACAGCCAGCTCCTAGCCAGCAGCCCTGTAACTAACGCCTGGATGAAGTTTATGAGACACGTTTTCTCTGTATGACACGTTACAGCCTGCTAGTGCTTAGGAACACCAGACAGCATTCAGCACTACACTGCTGCCCTTTTTAAACAGCAGACTCATCATCAGCAAAACGCACAGCAGTGTTAACGAGCGGGCGCTCCTTAAACCACAGTATGGAGGCTTGCTTATAGGAGGCAGTCTGAAACAAGAAGGCACTGCCACTTTGTTTGGCCTCAGCTTAGAGGGTGCGTATGAGGTCACCCAGTTTTTTGGCCACCACACATGGCTGTGAATGACCTGAAAGCATCATGCGTATTGATTTTTGGTTACAAATAAACGTATTGAGTAGACATGTTTGCACATATTGAACTGATGAACAGTGAGACTTGACTGCAAATAATACCTTTGGGAAAATTTTAAATCTCTAACCCTGGGAATGTGACTGCTAGTAAGAAATCAGTACAAAATTGCCCTGCGGCCAAAAATAGGCCAAGCAGACCCAAACCAAAGTAGGTACAAAATCTCCCAAATGCGGTCTTGTTTATATATCAAGTAAACTTCAGAAATACTATATTTTAAATTACATATTTTTTAATGAAGTAGAGAAATATTGTATTGGAATCAGTTTAGATGCTGAATGTTGCTTTATTTTAAATCACAATTTACATTTGATTTTATAACTTTTTCAAGTTAGGATTAGAGTTCATAGCCTATATAATATCATAATGTGACATTTTTTTAACTTTTATAGAATTATGTTTATTAATAATGGAATGTATGATTTCTAATTTATTATCTCCCATGGCATTCAACAGCATTTTCATGGAATATTTGCATATTTTAATTACATTACAAGAAGATCAGTTATGGCATTGTACATTGTAAATAATTGGAGAGAAAAGACAAATACTTGAAGTGACATGAAGTATTTTAAAAAACCATCAAAACGAACCTTGACGCTGGCTGATTGCAGAAACTGCTCTACCTCACACATGTTTCCATCTACTCTCCATTACTTTTTCAGTTTTTTAAGTGAATCAGTAACTCAGAGTAGCCGCGAGTTGGGAGACAAAACCAAAATCCTACTAGCATCACATTAGTTCCTATACTAACGCTGCAGGGCGGGGCAGAGCTGCTGCATTTAGTCTTTGAGACTGTAAATCATCCCGGAAGAGAAAGCTGCTTCTTTCTCCCTCCAGACCACTGTTGGGCTTGACCTTGGGGAAGTAGTTCCATGTATGACCAGTGCCGGCACCAGGGCTCTGAGTTTGAGACTTCTGAACCTCATCGGTTGCCGAAAGCTCTCTGCCATTGAGTCCATGCCAACTTCTAGCGACCC